GAAAGTAGCATAACTACAATCATTATCCACCTTGACAATTTAGAACATGCTCTATATTTATACATATGAAGATAATAGTACCTTTAGATCTAATCTGAAATTTCTAGTCTTTATATAACCAAAACACCCCATTTTGCTATACAACCACCCACTTTCTTAATCTCACTATCAGGCATCACACATTGCCATTAAAGTTTGCCATGGGTACCCCGCAGTCAGATCTTAGGTGCATCAGGGTAGCTGTATGCCCACAGCTATAGGTGACATACAATCCAGCTGAGCTTAGGGCCTCCAAAGTAAGAGTAGCAAGGAAATTGCTTCTGCTCATCTTCAGTACAGTTCCAGTTCCTGCAGGTTGACTCCTACTACCATGTGGCACTAACAAACCACATCCTATATTTTGACCCCTTTCACAAACAATACCATTACCACTACTGCCAATGCGGGTGGTACCCTCTTCTCAAGTATAGTTGGCTGCCCCTGCTCCTTGTCAACGTACCACTCATCTCATATTTCACTGTTGCTCATGCTCTAGCACTGGCACTCTGAGTCCCACCACTACCCCGTGTGCAAGTATTGGTAGATGAAGTAATATCAGTGCCACTTGGTCGATTACTAGCTTAGATACTAGCTTGGCATCCTGCGGTAAGGTACGCGAGTGTGCTCCTGGTCACGACACCTCCTCCTGCTTTCCCAGACCATTGTCCAATGGTTTCTCCTTGCTTACCTTTGCTACTCCCAAAAATTACCAGTACCATAGTACCTTGTATGGATTCCCAACCGATGAACAGAGAATTCCAGGCGACCGGGTAGATTGTATGAACAGTCTTGGAACTTCTAAAAGACCTGAAGACACCAGGACTGTAGAGTGCTATCCTCAGTGAGATAGGGGGTGTGGTAAACCTTAGCGCTGTTTTACCAGCAGCACCTCTTTCTCAATCCTTAATAATAGTACATCCTGGTGGGGATGATTGGGTGTAATGAAGAGGTACTCAGGAGAGGAAAAGTAGGTAGAGAATGCAAGAGGACAGTAGAGATTGATGAGATGCTAGAGGGGAAATAAATAATCAGACTAGGTCAAGTGGTTAAAATAAGACGATAGGAGTGACAAACTAGAAACATGAGGATAGAGGGAATAGGTGAATAGTAAACAGTTACTTCTCTGTATCAAGCTACTATAATAGAGCAGATAGTACTTAGAAAATAAATTGAATAGAAGTCAGATAGGCTGCCAAGTGTCAGGAACAGGTACTTCATGTATCTGTTCGATGGTACTCTAGCTACAAGATAAGAATATATAAGCACCTGTCTTAGAATAGTAGGAAAATTGAATTATATAATAAAATATAATGAATCGCATATGCGTGTTGAAGAATGTGTAATTACAGGATTGAAAGAGTGAAGAGAGTGTGAGGAAAACCTCACACAATACAGTAATGAAAAAGGTAATAATGGCGGAGAAGATATGGCAGTATGGGAGGGAATTACTAGCAAACCCAACCCTTCACTTAATATGTGCCAACCCCTTCAGGACCTGTACAGCATGCAGTATATCTGGTAATTGCCTTGCTATGCTGATCCTGGCGGGAAAAGCTATAGTGTGAGCAGGGGTCTCTCAGGTCCCCCCGCCAGGAAGGCCAGAATGGGCCATTGGCAACAATGCCTGAACCCCGGCAGAACCCCCTCCCAGACCGCGAATCTCATAATCATACAGCCAGAATTCTTGCAATTAAGCACTTGTGGATCTCTTATTATTACTGGAGCTCAGATTGAGAGGTATGGTGAGACATTACGTGCCGTTTTTAGAGAGGATTTCTTTCATCCTCCCAGTGAAGCTGGTAAGAATTCCGTTGCTATGAGATCTCAAATTCATGGACTTATGCACACTATGTGTTGGGGTAATTCTGGTACCTTGCATTCATAATGGTGACATCCTGTGTCAGGCCAGAAGCTCAGGAGACCGATCCCGGTGCTCCATGGAATGATCCAGGGTCAGAAGGAAATTTTGTAGTTTGGATCAGCCAACAGGAGACATTCAGCATTGATATCGAAGGGCTTGTACGTTGGCAGACCCTGGACTATGGGCCTGCTCTAGGAGCTAGCTGTCATAGGGAAGTGGAAGAAATGCATATTCCAGAGCAGTGACTGGAAGGTCATCGGTTGCTGGAAGATCTGTAAACATGGTATCATACCATGGCATTATGGGGGGTGGGTGGTTTAGTGGAACAGGGGGGGTTTCGAAGGGTTAGCAGCCCATGTAAAATTACCTGGTGTACCGAATTCTCCAGGCCACTGCTGGTCCTCAGCACTAGAGCTTTGGCTCCTAACATTTTTACAGAGTCACCGACAATCAGTGACAATTGATACAACGAAGGTCTGGCAGCCTGACAAGGAGTAGCGTCTCTTAGGTCTGCAGGATGTACTGGAATGCAAGTGCTAGGGCATCACAGCAGTACAGAATATATAGGAGCCGAGTAATGGAATGCGCCAAAGATGTCAGCAGTCGGCGAAGGGGAACACGGGATATCAGAGATTAAGATTTGCCAGCATCTGATCTAAGTTTTCCTGATACTTAAGAAAGGATATTTGAGGAAAATAAACACCCAAAGATGTGAGGGCCCCTCAGGTTACCAAGGAGGTTCAGGTTCCTTGAGAGACGTGAACGTTAGGCCAGGGTATTTCCGGGAAGCTTGGTGATACGTGACTAGATGAAAAACAAAATGAAGGAGGAAGGAGAAGGCGGACAGGATGGTGAGGGTGTTTATTCTGTTTGATATGAGGTTTATGCACGCAGGCGTCCCGCCGAGAATGGTCGCCCATTGTGGATTAGCCTACCCAGACCTATCATATATAGAATAAGAGCAGCACTCTCGGTGTGCGTTATGGGGTGGACATATCCGCCCCTACATCAAAACCAAAAACTGGTGTCTCTCCCCACGCTGGTAAGATCTCTCCTATTTATTATACCGTTCATCCTATTAACTCTTTAGTTCAATTCTAGATATAGTATACACCCCCACCTCTACAGAAAATTGTTCATTCATCCGATCTCGGAACACTTTCAATAATGCCAGAAGTTTACGCAGTGTTGTCCAATGTCTAATATCACTCTCACAGCTACCTTTGATTACGCACTATCACTCCCCTCAAAACAGCTCACACACTATATATTTCGAGCCTTGCTAGGCTATTGTTCCAAAAACGGTGCGCATTCCCGGCCCTGAGGCTGTAGTCTACTGGAATATGTTCTGTCAGGCTTGAGATATCCCGCTTTGCAGATTACCGGGGAGTTGATTGCTGGAAAATGGTTGGACTACTACCCTCGTTAAACCCACTGCAACAATGGGCAATCCCTTAGCTCCTGCCATAACTCGACCACTTCCCCCTACTGCAACAGATTCCTGGTTTTTGATCCTGCCGCATGCAAATAATTCGGAATAGGCTCGCAAACTCACTCAGTGTTCGCAACGGGGCAGTCCGTCCGGTCATATTCTCAACATGCCCGACAGGTAGGAATGAAGGACCAGGACGGATTACATTGTGTTGTCCCATCCGGTCTTTTCCTGCACTTACCCGACACATAAGAGTAAAGGACCATTCACCGATAGTTTCCTGCCGTCACCCACAGTCACTCACCGTCCCATGCCATCCCTTAAACCCCCCGTCTTCCCCCGCAGTCCCCCACTGTCCCCTACGATCCCCTGTGGTCCTATGTAGTCACCTGCCGTCGCCTACCAGAAGTTGTCTCAGATCGTGGGATTCATTGTCCTTCCTTCTGACGGCCCCTCTGAGTTCAAGGACGAGGACTGACTATATTTTGCCGTCCCGTCCCGTCCCGACCCGTCCTGGGTTCTTTGAAATCCCTCCGTCGGGCCCTACGGGGGCCCCGGACGGTTCAGAACACTGAACTCTCCAGCTCCTCAACCACAGTCACCGGGAGTTCCTCTATTCCCTCCTGTTCTCCGGTAAATCCATCTCGCTGCAGGAGTTTCTAGATTCGTCATTCCGAAGTTGGACGCCCAAACTCTGCTGATTCTGAGATCTTCGAATTACAGAGGGCACCTTTGTCACTGCCAACCGGAGCTGTGAGTCGTAATAGGACAAAGGTTCCACCCCAAGCCTCATATAGATAGAGCCACCAGAGTAAGGCAATTGAACGTTCCGCAACCTCGCTGTTTAGCAAAGCGTTAGTCTAAAAAACAATGAACGTATGATGAGGTAACCTGGGGATCAATCCGAGTCGTGCGGGGGCTGGCGGGCAACATGATGTTTACGAATGGGCCTTACTCCGCAGGTAGTCAATAACCTCGCAACTTACAGAGAACCCGTTCTCAGGGGATTTATGAGAGGACGGTTTATGAGCCGAATCCAAGCCGATCACGGAGGTCCTGCTGTTAATTGGGATGGCAGTGTCAAAGTAGGCAGGTAGAGGAAGCAAGAAGTTTGCGGGAGCGTACTACGTAAAGAGTGTATCCTCCGCGAGAAAATAATCAAATTTCTAGCTGTTCTTCTCGAATTATGATTCGAGTCACATCTACCCCCCGTGGTTTCCATGCACCTCCGACAAATAATAACAACATCGGACAAATAATACCACACGGTTCCCATCCAACATGCCCTCAGATACCCCCAGCCGCACCAGATCCCTCCCACGTCAACCCAACACACATGATGGGGCTGGCTTCCTCTCATTGAATACACGAGGGGCTTGCCTCGTATGGGCTCGGCTCGATTTGGATATGCGCTGCCCTGTTTGTCAGTCCTATGCTAGCAATAGCCCGGTATTATTGCAGCCAAACAGGATCTGACCAGAATCAAAATCACTACCGATTCCGATTGTTCAAGTCCAGAATGTCTGCTCAGGGCTGATATATGATCAGTTCAAGTTCAGTTGAGGATAGTGGAGAGCATCTCCGGGGGAGAAATTGGTTTACCTCTCATTCACGGTCTCTTGTAAATTATTAGTCAACCCGGTTTGCCATGCAATAGCTGAGATGGTCTTACGTAGTTTGCATATGCGCGACAACTGCGCAATCATCAGACGGTCCGGTCACACGGAATTTGGGACCTCCCTGCAAACTGATCCCATCCATCCAACTCTTACAGGCGCTACAAGCCGGCTTAGACACACCAATGCCGGTGAATGGAGGAACTGATACCCAGTTGACGTCCTCTGTGCCCCCACTAGTGCCCCGGCTCCACTCGCCCCTGGTACCACCAACCATGCTTCCAGTGTGGACTGCATTTTCAGCACCTCCGGCCTCCCACCCCATACTTGCCAAATATCCAACCAGCGAACGTTCGCAATGGATCTGGGAATTGACGTTCGCATTCCCCAAACCGGAAGACTGTTCCCCGGTTTCTGCAAGACCCCGAACCTCTTCCGCCATAGTGACGTCAGGGCAGTCGCTGGGTATGACGATCTTACATGCCACGCCAGAAGATTGAAGTTCAGGGGAAATCTCGTGAGGCTTTGGGACAATGTCGACAGAGACATCGCATTGAAGAGCAAAACGCAGGCGTCTGGATTTTGCAAAGGTAAACAAAGTATGTAGGTGCCGATACTGACTTGTTAACCTCTCGAGAGTATGTGCCAGAGGAAAGGGGGCGATAGAGCCTGGGTTTTGAAACATCCAGTGTCAGAGGAGAGTCAAGTCAGAAATAAGGAGTACTTCAAACCTTGAACCTCGCAGACCATGTCCTCACAAATTGCTCCATCTCGTAGTAGGCCAACTACCCTTCCTGTTGCCGCATGCAGATACATCTTGGCCCTCCTCCAATCGCGATCGGCGAGGGATTGCTTGGCGCAGAGAGCGTGTGCCCTATCGAGCCCGGCGAGGGCACCTACTAGAGACTTAGGAAAATCATGTTGACCACGACCGCGGACCCCGCACAAGGCGCGAGCAAAATTCTTCAATCGAGGACCCCACTTTTTCCACCCCTTCTGGTGTCTGGCGCTCGTGAACAGGTAAACCTCACGGAATATATCAAGTTCGATCCTGCTACTTGCCGGATCCTGCACACATGGCCGGCTATCGCTCGCGGCCCCGGGCCTGGACTGGTTCCCCGTCCCTGATCTGGCAGCGGCCCGCGCACCCGACAACTCCCGCAGCCCCCCCCACACGCCACTCAGATCCGGAATGAGGCTATCCGTAACATCGCTAGTGTCCGCGATTGTGAGATGTACCCGACGCTTACGGGCCTGCAACTGGACAGCCAAGGCGATATGTTGGGCGGAAGGCTTCGAGATGCATATGCTAGCTAGTGCATCCTGAAGTGGGTAGTCGCTGCGGTTGACTTTTCTCTGATTACGGGACGGGTCAGCCACTTCTGTAGTTCGATCTTGGCCACGAAGCTTGCAGTCCTGGTAATCGCTAACCTTTTTGTACCCCATGTGCACTGGGAGAAGCGGGTTGCTTCCGTAGATGGTGCCCCGAGAACGCCTGGGTTTCGGGGTATAACCAGTAACCCGGTTGATTTAATCCCTCCTTTGGTAGCTTTATGAGAAAATTAGTCACATTTCTGTAGTAAAAGGTGAAGATATGTTTGTTCCGTTATTGAACTTGCATACATCCTGGCAAAGGAATGTAGGGGGAAGTACAATAGAATTTTGCGCCTAGATCTCCCTCAACCGAACACCACTCTTCTTCACTCTTGAATGGAGATTCAGGTCAGGAATTTCTATTCGTGATAAATGTGTTCGGTGTTGAGGGGCAGGGGTGGTGGTAGGTAGGAAGAGTGTGGATGTGAAAGGTGACCAAGACCTCTATTTATACTTCTAAGTTGCTGACGTATGCTTCCAAGCCATGGTGAGTTCTGTCAGCAACACTTGGCACCTACATCTCAAGCGAGCAACATCGCCCACTGACCGAACTCTATGAGTCTGAACGCATGAGGTTTGATCGGAAGAACGAAAGGATGAATCCGCAATAGTGCAATAATGATAGAGCCAATGAACAAACGGGACGGCAGGATAGTGACAGAATCGGTGATCAATCGTTGATAAATCTGGCGATCGATGCCAACCAAAATTCAAACCAAAGCCAGAACGCGAGGCCTATATCTGCAAACAAACAACAACTATACAATCCCGGGAAACCTCTTGAAACATTAGAGAATCACCCCATCCTAACGATCCATTATTCTCCACGCTCCCCACGAGTCCAGTACTCTCTTGAATCCCCCAGGGAGGACACCATGCCAAACGGCACAGGACGTAAGGGGGAGCGATTCCCATGCCCGATGCCCTATACCAACGGGGAAAAATGCTGACAAGAAACCCGAAACCTACTCCCTAGAAGGGCATATCATCGATCCGCAAACCACCAAACCACACGCCCGTTAACGTAGGCCACGGCGGGTCGAAACACGCGGTGACGCAAAAGATCCTAAGTAAAAAGTAGTGATCGCAACGGGGCGGTCTCTCCGTCCTGGAGCAGGACCAGGACGGAGGCCCAGTTTGTCGTCCCGTCCGGTCAATTTCTCAACATGCCCGACAGGTAGGAATGAAACACCAGGACGGAATGCATTATGTCGTCCCGTCCAGTCTTTTCCTGAACTTACCCGACACATAAGAATAATTGACCATCCACCGACATCTCCCTGCCGTCACCCACCGTCACCCACCGTCCCCTGCCGTCCCTTAAACCCCCAGCCCTTCCCCACCATCCCCCACCATCCCCCACGGTCCCCTACGATCCCCTGTGGTCCTATGTAGTCACCTGCCGTCCCCTACCAGAAGTTGCCTCAGATGGTCGGGCTTATCGTCCTTCCTCATGACGGCCGTCCTAGGAGTTCAAGGGCGAGGACGGACTATATGTTGCCGTCCCGTCCCGTCCTGTCCCATCCCGGGATCTTGGTAGTCCCTCCGTCGGGCCTTACGGGGACCCCGGAAAGGTTGAGAACACTGGTAAAAAGTACTTTGAGTAAGCAACAGCTAGTGTATTTGCCACTTGTTTCGTATCACCATGTGTTTCGGCTCATGGTGGGGTAGGTTAGGAAATCCAACATAATGCTGGTACAGGGCCCCTGGCATGAGGCGCCTCCATTAAATTTGTCATGTGACAGACGGTCTGATAAGAGACAAGTGACGCTAGATCCCAGAGATGAGGTGCTTGATTTGAACTTCAGTTCTGATAGAACCTGGCTGCGTAAACTGTGTAGAAGGTGCATTCCGGATAATCACTATTCCCGGAACACTTTCAACTATGAAACCCTCATTGCCTTCACTAACCCGCTCCGCTCGCTAGACTCCAGAGCCAAGGTTGGGGTCTAGTGCCTTCCATCTTGCCGAACTGGGTTCTAGTCCAGTAGGCCAGCCATGCATTACTCAGATCCCAGCCCCTCTATCTCGTCTCGCCCCGTATTATAACAACCCATACTCTAGATGCTAATGCTGGGGCCGGGTGTCCGGGTCTGGATTCGGGATGAAAGACTGCCGGGAAGCCTTAAGGGCGGACCCTTCTGCCCGACACGAGGTGCAGAAGAAAGGATTGGCACCAATAGCAACCTAACACGGCAAGTATAGTGCAGATGTGGCGAAAAGGCAATCCAAAAGCAAGCCTAGTCCGATCTCTATCTAGTTGGCGACAGCGATGAATGTGCGAAAAAAAAACTCCAACAAAAAAAACTTACTTTTCTGCAGGGAGGGACTACCTATAGGAGTTGTTTTGTTCTTTTTCCAATTAAGAGTTAGAAGAAAGAGGAGCATGAGGAGAAAAAGTAAAAGTATCTGTGAGGGTAGAGCAGGTGGACCAACCTACCCCATTGCAAATTGAAAAATAATGTGCGCTATGGTAAAGGAAAATGCAAAAAAGAACAAAATTGCCCAGGCCTAGGAGAATATATACAAACTACCTCAACTCTTCTTGCACTATAATAAAATATAAGGGCCTGTTCAGAATGCCAAAAATACTGTAATCTTTTCACTTTTATACTATCTTCTTATTGTAAATAGTCAAGTATGCTCTCACAAGTCTATTGTAATAAACCAACTTCTGTGACATGAGCATAAGTTTGGTTCTGAGCTTTGTATTTTTGTTGTTAAACTGATGTGGTCTACAGCATGAAATGGGCTATGGAATTAGGGATAGGATGAGATGTTTTCTTCTTTCCTTTTAAGAATTTTTATTCTTAGCTAGAACCAACAGTCTTTTACAACTCCACACTCAACCTCTTCCCTCTACCAGAAGGTCTTGTCTTCATTTCCTGCTGCAGTCAGCCATCCACTGCCATAATACTCCCTGTTACTTAATACTTCTGCAGTATGTTTCTTGAAGTTAATGCCCATAGTTAGCAAATTACCAATTTTACATGGAAGCAATCTAGGACTTGAAGAACACTTGGAGGATGGCTCTTTCGATATACCACACGAGGATTTTAAAGAGCATGAGGATTTATATTCAATAATATCATAAAGAGAGTAGTAACGTATTTTACCAGGATGTAGCTCATTACTGGAATGTGGCTCAACCATGTTAACCTGTAGAAAACCAAATACATCTGGAATTATCTGTATGAATACATGTGAGATCATCTCAAGAGATTATTAGTAGGTGCTTTGGAATATGGAGAACTCAAATATGCAAAAAAAATTATAATTATAAGTTGTTCCTCCTGGGCAAGGGTTTTAAGATTGTGTCTCTGAAACTAAACTATTAGTGTTTTTTAGTTGATAAAAATTGAAAAATATAGAAGAAACAGCTTTATGAGACAATCAAGAAACTGAGTAAGTCTTATAAGCCTGGAGCTAATAGTTTTCCAGGATATTTATTACCAATTTGTAACATTGTAGTTCCTAGTAGAAACTAATAGAAAATGAGTAAATTACATACAAATCTAGTACATTTGATAATAACATAACTTATTACTGTAATAACCTATAACTTATAGTATCTTTTATATCTAAATTTACCGATGCCATTTGAGTAAGTAGGCTGAATTTGAAGTTTGGCAGGTATGTTTTCTAGATTCTATATCTTCATTACCAAAATAAGCTTCAAACTATTCATACATTATTATACAATTACAAGATTACGAAAACAAAATCACTACACTATCTAAACACTTACTAATCATCATCTATATATTTAGTAAGAACATTAGCTAATTTATATCATCCTCTGTCTCCGCTACACCTCCGGCGATTGAAAACTCAACACCACAGGTTTTATCGTGAGTTTTTTGTTTTATCGCAAAACATTCTCCATCCTCCCTCCGACTCCTGCCTTTGGCCTTGGCCTAGGGGACTCTGGCTCCTCTCTCCTCTCATGCCCGGGGTATTGACATCGGTCTACCATCGCAGGGCCGCTTTCTCCTTGGGGGTTGGTCGTTTGGAGGCCCTCCTTGGCTGGCTGGCAGGTGGTGGGATCCCTTCCACTACAGTGACGCTATCTCTCCCAGAACAAGGGACTACATGAGAGACGGGGTAAAACACTTGCTTTGCTTTGCCTAGGTGGCCATTGGTGATCTTCCTTACTCCCCCTTCCTCCTCCCCCCACGCGTGGTAGGGAGTCCTCTCCTCCTCTTGAGTTGGCCTCGCTTAGCCTTCTGACGGTCGGCAACCGCTTAACCACCATCGTCACATGGCCGGGACTACAGTTGCAGTAGGGAAGATCAACCAACAGGCTATGATTGATCTCCCTATTCTCTTGTTGCCCTAAAAGGCTGCCTAGTCTGACACGAACGCGACACCGATAGACGTTGTTAGGGTCTTTGGCTCTACCCCTCCGCTCTCCTCTCGCTACGGTCGGATCGGCTGGAACCCTACTGCTATACCTTCCCCTCTCCCCGGTTATCGTCCACAGCCGGCTGGTCTCCTTCTTCCCTCCATGGCATTGCACTGTCTCCTTGGAGGGGTCTGGGGGGGGCCCCTATCTTAGCGCGCTTCGGGTGTCGCTTCCCGCTCAGATGAGTGGACTCGCCCTGCCGGGCCCTACGTGGCTTGCTACTAACCTTGCTTTTGTTCTTTGGGATTTCTCAGCAGGTTTTTCTGGCCCTTCCTGCTTTCTTCTTAGTTAGGATTTCCTTGTTTGTCTGTCTAGCCAGGCTTGGGTTTCTTTTCTTTGAGGCGAGATGTGCGGTTGGCTCCATACCAGAGGGGCTTGGGAGATTGGCTTTTTCCTGTGGCAAGAGGAGGGATATGGGTTTTTTGTCATCATAGCTAGCGCGCCATACATTTTTTGTACCCTAAACAAATAATCAATGAGTCAAAACAAAAAAAAAAAAATTAGCTAATTTATATCCATATTTGATTACAATAATATAATTATATTAATTATCATAAAAGTTATTAGTTATAATTATAGCATTTTAACTATACTATAATCGAATTGAAGACTAGTATTTAATCAATGTTTCAGAATTATATCTTAATCTCCTGATTAGAGTGCACAT